CAGGGAAAAGAGATATGGGGGGGGGGGGCTTGTGTATCGTGTGCAGATCGGAGTCCGCTTCCTAATCCTCCCTGGCTGGCAAAGCTCGCCTGCTTGGGTGCTGCAAAAGCAGTGGTAACCCGAACTCATCCATCCTGCTTCTGTCACCTGCTTATTCCCCCCTCTCCTCCACGCTCCGGTTGGACAGATGAAGAGATAAGCGGGAGGAAAATAACACCAGGCGAGATAAAGAGATAAGCAAGAGGAAAATAAAACAAGGGTAGATAAACTACGCTTGCTATTTATATTCCCTGTCTAATCTATCAATCCATCAGGGCGGCTATTGTGGTTGTAGCATCCCTCCATCTGTCACCTGGACTTCTCCATACATCTGAATTCCTTTGCCCACATCTCCTCCCTTGTCTCCTAGTCCTAAAGGGAAAAAAACCCAGGCAATTAAATACACCAAGAGGAAACGAGAAGTCAAAGCCATCATCTCTGCTCCCAGGGGAAGCGGTCAGACATCTTCCCTGGGGATGAGGAGGGCATAGGCAGGGGCCTGGCGGTTCTACCTGCTCCTTGAGGATGGCCCAGGGCTGCTGGGAGGCTTCCCAGCTAGAAAGACCATTTCAGCTTCTACTACGCATCTTTCTGGGCCGTCACATCACTTCTTCTCCCCATCGTCACGTGGGCCGTGCATTGGGCCAACGTTCCTCAGCTCCGTCCTCTCTATCCCCCAGACAGAACATTTTCTACCATGCTTTTTGGCACCCTCAACCAGTCACACACCCTAGAGCGACCTGAACAGGAATGCAAGAGCCGTCAGGATGTCTGGCAGCATCTTGAGGAGCCACTGGCCAAGAAATGATGGAGCAGCTTCCACCTGGTGAGGGACCAAGGCCAGGATTCTCCACCTCAGTGCTGGCTTCAAGAGGCAGGCAGGTGATGCCCCAAGGGTAACCGTCCCGTGTGCGGGGACAGAGGGGATGAAGGCTGTTTACTCTCAATTTAATGCAAAATAAAAGGGCAAAAAGGGGCAGGCAGGCAGCTGGAGGGATGTGCCATCAACTCTTTGCATCCTTGATGGTTGCCCCCTGGGCTGGCAGGCAGAGCGGCGCTGGAGCCTCCCCTCCCCGCAGCCCCCCAGCAAGATTTCATCGTGTATCGCCCAGAAGCACTGAGTTTGGCCCAAAACGCCGATTCCCATCAGGAATGAGGCCATGCGCAGCATTCCCAGCCAGCATGGCACCTTCTCAGCAAAGCACCCCATCGGGCAACGCAGGGGCCAGCAGACGAGGAGCAACAGCAATGCCCAGCACATCCCTGGCCACCCGCTCCCCACAACGTGGGGGCTGCGCCGCCTCTTTGACTGAGTGGAGGAAAAGACGGGGGTGGTTTTGCTGATAAATCGCTGTATTTTGGGAGAGAACCATTTCCACCTTCTTTCAGGTTAAGTGGGTGAGTTAAGAGAAAGAGCAGCAGCAGCGTGCCCTCCCCCCCCCCCCCCCACTCCAGAGGGACAGGAGGGGACTGCCAGGCTGCTGCATGTTAATCTCAGGTGGAAGCAGCCAGGTCCTCCCATCCCTGTTCAGCAATTAAAGTGCTCGATGGAGATGATTAAGAAGATGAGGTTAATAACTGGGGGTCAGTGTTTGACGACCTTGCAGCGCTTTTCCCTGCGAAGAACGACGCCGACAGCAGCGGGGCTGGCTGGGGG